GGCATGAGCCACCACATCCAGCCTTGTTTTGTTTTTTTAAAAAATCTCTAGCCCTGGAGTCTGAAGCCCCAAGGATTTCATCCCTAACTCCCTGAGTGAATTTTGGCAAATCACATGACCCACAGGTTTAATTTTGCCACCTACGAAACGAAGGCACTGGGCTAGATTAGTGGCTTTCAGGAGTTTTTGGACTATGAGCCAAAGTAACAAATACAGTTTACATTGGGGTATCTATATATGCAAAATACACAAAAGTTTCATGAACTAACACTTTTTTTTTTAAGCTAGAATAAATCTATTAGGTAAAATAAACATATTTTTACTATTCTATTTCATCATTTAAAAAAATGTTAATAGCAACACATGGCCCACTACTAGTAGTTTCAATAACACTGGACAATCTCTAAGCTTCATTAATTTGACTCTAATTGTATTCAATGAACTTAAGTTATTTAATATTTTGCAACATCAGCCACTAGGTGCTCAATTTTCTTTGTCCTGTGTATTCATAAATGGCAACTATTTATTGCTGATGTATACTTACTTTTCAGTTTGAAAAGCAGTGCTAAGTACACTTGGATCACCGAACTAGTTGGCTGTAGGTTACTGTGAAAATCACATGAGGTAACTTATGTATAAGCATTTTGAAACTGCTGTAACCACCTGTAAGATATTAGCCAAATACACAATAAAGCGGCCACTCAAAATCTTTATGTAGCTGTTTTAAATAAGGCAATGCAATGTAACATGCAACACTTTCACTTTATCCAAAATGTAAATAGCACAACTACCTTTTAAAGATGTGTGCTTTTTAATGTATCCAATGCACTTGGAGAGGAACCTCAGATCAAAATGAGACAAACATACTAAAGACTTAAATGTCTAAAAACAAAACCGGGAAACTTCTTAAATGAATGATAAAATCCTGGGGGTAGACACACCAGGAGTCCTAGGAACTTTACAAGGTCAAAAAAGATGTAATTTTTTTTTCTTCTACCCCCCTACAACAAACACATAATCTTTTACCACCACCACCTACATAAAATTTGATTCAAAAAAAAAAAAAGTCAGAAAGACAACTAGAAAAAAAATTTACAAAATAACAAAAGGCTGTTTTTCTTTAAAAACAAAAAACAAAAAACAAAAAAAACTGTTACCAAAAAATGTAAGATTTTTTTTTTTTTTTTTGAGATTGAGTCTTGCTTTGTCACCCACGCTGGAGTGCAGTGCTGCGGATCTCAGCTCACTGCAACCTCCACCTCCTGGGTTCATGCAATTCTCCTGCCTCAGCCTCCCAAGTAGCTGAGGTTACAGGCAGGCACCACCGCAGCCGGCTAATATTATTATTATTATTATTATTATTTTCTTTTTTCATTTTTAGTAGAGACAGGGTATCACCATGTTGGCCAGGCTGGTCTCGAACTCCTGACCTCAAGTGATCCACCCACCTCGGCCTCCCAAAAGTGCTGGGATTACAGGTGTGAGCCACCGCACCCGGCCCCAAAAATGTAAGGTTTTAAAAGAGATAACACGGGTAAAAATAGCCTCAGTGCTGATGAAGGTGTGAGACACCGCTACATACCGTTGGAAGTATAAATTGTTAGAAACTTCCTGGAAGGCATACAAAAACAAATTTTCAAAATGTAAAAAGTACATATGAATGGCCTAGATATCCCATCGGTATAAATATATACCAAGGAAATAAATTTGCAAAAATGTACGTGAAAAGGGTGAATATAGGGAAACCTGTCTCTAAAAATAAATCTTTAGTAACATGGAAAGATTCCCACAATATACTCAGAATATGAAACAACACTTTATGATCCTTTTGTTAAAAGAAAAAAAAAAGCAAATATTATACACAATTCAGTAAGATATACACCAGAATGTTAATAGTATCTCTGAGGTATGATGAGATCCGGCAGCAAGCCCATACAGTCCCTTTGAGAGAATTAGAAAAGGAACCCCTCCTGGCAGACATATCCCCAGAGGCACAGAGCTCTCCAAACTGATCTTGTCTTTGCAAGAATTAGAACAAGGTGCCCCTTCTCTAGGTAGACCCAACCATGGTCTAGGGTACACAGCCTGGCAACCTGAATACGGATTTCGGCCTCCTCTCACGGCTCCCTCACATATCCTTAGAGGGATATCCGTATACTGGGACAGGATTATGGTAAATTTTCACCTATATATGCCATTCTTCATTGACTTACTATTATTACAATAAACAAAAAATTTACTGATAAGAGTAATACTTATCGATTTTGAAGAGATTGGCTTAATCCTTCCAAAATGAATCCCAACTTCACTTGTACTACTTTTACAGTCCTTACACATTGCCCTATACTTATTTGTGCACATGTTATCTATTTAAATGCACTGACCCAATAAAATAAAATCTCTACCCTAGGCCATATAATACAAAGGTTGAAGAGCACTGTCTGCAGTAAGAAATGTCATTCTAACACAAAGTGGAGTTACTTTGTTCTGGAAATGAGGAAGCACTGGGGAAGGGAGAAAGGGAGGAAGGTAGCCTATCAAAATTAATCCCTCTCCACCACTCAAAAGTTTCTTCAGCAAAAAGTTAGTACACTCTAGAAACAAGCAATGAAGCTTTATAAATGTTCTTTGTTCTTTTGTTCCCATGTAAGTCTGGATGCAAGATTTATTTCTTTATCACACTAGTGGGTTCCCAAAAGAAGACAGTAATTTAAATAAAAATCTTGAGTGATTACCATGCAGTTAGGCAAGGCATCTGTAAAATAATACAACCGCTGGACTAGGATTAAAGGAGAACTGGGTTCTTTTCTTGGCTTTGTGGCATATGTAATTTTACACAAGGCAAAAATCACAACCTCTCTGGGTCTCGTTTTTCTCATCTCTCTAACGTGGGGGTTGGGCTAAAAATCCTCCAAGGCCCCTTTCAGTTTGTGATAAGACTTCAAGTCGCCTTTTCACCCTGAAGGAGTCCACTTCAGTCCGCAGCAACAGTTTATTTTCTGAGTCATAGCTTATTTCTCCATGCTTATCCTAAAAATGCTGTGCCCAAATAGTTCTAAGCTCTCCAGATTTATTCTCACTCAGAAAGAAATGGTCTTTCAAGACACACTAACAAAATATGTTTCAAAAAGATTTTAAAAAGGTAAAATTAGTTTACTTAAGTATAAAGGCCAAAAAAAAAAAAAAAAAAAAGCTCTAGCCTGTATTCAGATATTGATACAATTTTAGAAAAAAAAGGCACCCTAAAGCAACTCTACATGGTAGATGGTTTAAATATTTTAAAACAAAGAGCTCACGCATAGAAAAAAGCTGCTGACATACAACCATCACACTCCTGTTTTGAAGACACAGGAAAAAAAAAAAACAAAAACCAAAACCTGTGTTGTTCAGACAGGATCTACATTCCCTAAAGGAGCAAATTTGTAAGGAAGAAAATCTCTGTAATTAAAAAGGAATCCGGGAGGAAACAACCTTTTTATGGGCCTTTTCACTGTCCAAATTCAAGTGCATTTTCTCGTACAATGTACTTCTGTGATTAACTCACCGCTACACGTTTAAGGAACCCACACCCACACTTAACACTCTGTCGCACTCTTCCGACCGGTCGGGGTGGCAGCGTGGACGAGTCACAAGATAGCGGCGGGAGTGGAAATTTCCTCTCCCCTGGAGTGGGGCAGGGTCTGGCTTCACCGAACCGCTCAGCGGGCCGGGCGCCTCCGCCAGGGCCTCTCGGGTCGGAGCGCTCCGTACAAAGGAGGCCCGGGGGCTCGGCTCCCGCACGCTCGGGGCCCGGCTCTGGGCAGGGGTCCCCGGCTTCCGGCGCCGCGCCGGGCGGGAGGCCCGGGCAGCACGTGCGCCCTGCTCCCGGCAGGGAGGGAGAAACCGGCGCGGCCAGGCCGGGCTGCCCGAGGGCCCCGCTGCTTCGGGAGCGAGCGACGGCCAGTCCCGCCGGCCCGGAGAGCAATGAATGGGGCCGCACTGCGCCGCCGCCGCCCGGGTTAGGGTCGGGCGGTCTGGGGCCCCGGCGTGGGGAGCCGCCTCCCGCCTTTCCGTTCCCACCCGACCGCGCCTGGCGCCCCCGGAACCGAGGCCGGCCCCGGACGCCCAGCTGCCGCCCGCTCACCCCAGCTCTTGGCGGTGCGCCCCAGGAACTCTCCGGTGGTCGGGTTGTAGATGAAAAGCTTCCACTCCGCCAGGCTCTGGTTGAGGGACTTCTTCTCGTTCTTCGTCATGGTGTGCGCGCGGACGGCGAGGGGAGCTGCGGCCGCGGGGATGGAGGCGGCGAGGGCAGCGGAGGCGCGTCCCGGCTCCGGCGGCGCAACCCGGAGACAGCAGGGGAGGGTGGGACGGCCGAGAACACCTCCTCGTTACTGGGAGTACTCGAGCCGACTGCGCCGCGCCGCGCCGGGCGGCCGCTTGGGCCGCGGGAGCCTGACGTCTCCGCCTGCCGCAGCCAATCCTCGCGCCGCTCGGCCTGCGCCGCTGCCGCCTCCCGCCCGCGGCCGGGGCGCTGCCTGAGGCGGCTATGACGCCCCACCCCGCCCCGCCCCGGCCCCGGCCCCGCCCCGCAGTAGCCTCGGGGGCTCCCTCAGCCCTGGTCAGAGGAAGCCAGAAGTACGTCTAAAAATCTGAAGGTTTAGTCGCACGCACTTTTATAATAATAGCAAAAGGCGGGCGTCCCCGCGCCGCAGGTTGCTTAGGAGGAGGACTGGGTTTCCTGGGCGTTCCTGGGCGCCGGGGCGCTAAGAAGATGCTACCCGCGGCGGGCGGGCGCGGAGAGCACGAAAAAGACTCCAGTCGGCCCGCGGCGTCCTCTTCGAGGGAACTTAACCGTCCCCTCCCCGAACTGCCTCCCCGACCGTCCCCAGGCGTTCTCTGGGCTCTGTGACGTTCCTACAGGACGCTCTCTGGGCTCTGTGACGTTCCTACAGGACGCTCTGCGGGCGATCGCGCGGGGCTCCCACCGTGTACACGGTGCACTACTGTTCCGAGAACGTCCTCGCTTGGCTCCTTTAAAGGATTCAACCGGGAGCCTCGGGTCAATGGGAATTCCGTTCTAAATATGCCAGTGAATGGAGTATAATTTTTCTCCGGATTCAGTTGAATTTATCAATGAAATCTAAATACGTGCTTTCCCAAGGGCCCTGGCAACTGAAAACTCCCAGCTTTTGCCCAGACGCTCCTACTCTAAACCCACAGGAAATGGACACTCGTGGAGGGTCCACGCCTGTGTAGCGTCGCCGGCTTTTCATCTCCCCTGTAGAGATCGCGGCCCTTGGGCGGAGCTGAGGGTGCCGATAGCGTTTTCCTCCGCGAGATGGAGCTGACGAGTACGGGGCCCTCAGACTCACTGACAGGATAAATGACTTAATAGGAATTTGCACAGAAGGTACGCGGTGGGGCGGGGGGGGGGGGGGGGGGGGGGGGGGGGGGGGGGTCTGTTGTTGTTTTTATTTATTTTATTTTATTTTATTTTTAGAAAAAAAGGGCTGCCTCCGTTTTATTAGCAAATAAAAATTATGGAGAAATGTAACAGCCAGCTTATTGTTTGGAATGATGAATTATAATCTCTGGAAGTTTATATCTCCCACAAATGGAAAAGTGGTAAAATACATTACTATGAAGTGCTTTTTTTCACGCTTGAGAAGCTAAATTTATAATTATGACATTGAAAATAACCAAAATCCATTTACCTTTTGAGCTAATGACACCAAAAGATTTGTAGAAGCATTTTGGAGAGTTTGGCATCAAATCAGTATTAGAAATAGCAAAGCACCATGCAAGCAGACTGCAATGCACTTCTTTAAATCATAGGCAAGATTGAAAGAACTAAAGAATGGAAGTAGTTGCCGGGCGCGGTGGCTCACGCCTATAATCCCAGCACTTTGGGAGGCCGAGGCAGGCGGATCACGAGGTCAGGAGATCGAGACCATCCTGGCTAACACGGCGAAACCCCGTCTCTACTAAAAATACAAAAAAATTAGCCGGGCGTGGTGGCCGGCGCCTGTAGTCCGAGCTGCTCGGGAGGCTGAGGCAGGAGAATGGCGTGAACCCGGGAGGCGGAGCTTGCAGTGAGCCAGTGAGCCGAGATCCTACCACTGTACTCCAGCGTGGGCGATAGAGCGAAACTCCGCCTCAAAAAAAAAAAAAAAAGAATGGCAGTAGTTAGCTATTTTCAACTCATTACAAATATAACTACAGGTTAGAGGAGACCTAAAATACTGGTAGAGTTCATAACAGGCTTTTACATTCAGGTAAAATGGAAGATATTTAGAATGAAACAAAACCTGTCCACTTCATTTACATTATGTGTGTGCATGTATGTGTGTGTGCTAATAATAAGCGTGCTTTGATAACTAATTACCTGGCACACAAAGAAAACGTGGTAAAGAAGAATATTATGAAATAGTGTTTCAAACAGATTGGCTGCTGTCAAGGATTTGTAGTTTGTATGTGTTTATTTATTTATTTTTTGAGACAGAGTCTTGCTCTTGTCGCCCAGGTTGGAGTGCAGTGGCTTGGATCTTGGCTCACTGCAACCTCCGCCTCCCAGGTTCAAGCAATTCTCCTGCTTCACCTTCCCAAGTAGTTGGGATTACAGACGCAAGCCACCACGTCCAGCTAATTTTTGTATTTTTTAGTAGAGATGGGATTTCACCATGTTGACCAGGCTGGTTTCGAACTCCTGACCTCAGGTGATCCGCCCACCTCGGCCTTCCAAAGTGCTGGGATTACAGGCATGAGCCACCACACCCAACCTGTAGTTTGTATGTTTAATGATCATTAATATGACTTTCATATTTAGTGCTTTGTGGTTTTCCAAATAAGGATTTAAATAGAAATATATAATTCAGTAAGCAGTTTTGAAACGCATGACTAGTTCAGTATAGTAACTAGATCCAACAGATTTCAGTTTGGTGACATTTTTACATTCTACTCCAAAACATGGAAACTATTTATTTCTCTGATATATGGTAAGTTGAGCATTACCTGGAAGAGAAAATCCTGTGTGTACTGAGAACCACTGGCCTACCAAGTATGAGCAGATGAAATATAAAATTTAATTACAGTTACATTCTCTGTCAGTTTATTTTACTCTAAGTTTCTCCTTTGAAGGAGAAGTTACTTTGCTAGATAAAATACAGAGTGCCCACCTAAATTTAAGTCCAGATAGATGATGGATATTTTTTTTGGTGTACATTCCATGCAATATCTGGGACATAGCTACTCCCCCACAATTATTCTTGTCTGTTTGAAATTCAAATTTAACTAGAAATCTTGTTTTTGTTTTTGTTTTTTTGGAGACGGAGTTTCAATCTCGTCGCACAGGCTGGAGTGCAATGGTGCGATCTCAGCTCACTGCAACCTCTGCCTCCTGGATTCAAGCGATTCTCCTGCCTCAGCCTCCAGAGTAGCTGGGATTACAAGTGTGTGCCACCACACCTGGCTAATTTTTGTATTATTAGTAGAGACAGGGTTTCACCATGTTGTCCGGGCTGGTCTCGAACTCCTGACCTCAGGTGATCCACCTGTCTCAGCCTCCCAAAGTCCTGGGATTATAGGCATGAGCCACTGTGCCCGGCCTATCTTGTATTTTTATTTGCTAAATCTGACAACCCTACCTGTAGAGAATACTTAGGAATTCCACAGTAATAATAAAGATCTCTTATAAATAATTAACTAAGTCCTGGGCTCCGTACTACTTGCGTAGTGTGATTTATTTCTCAATCTTTACAAATACCCTAATTAGGAGGTACTGTTTCCCTAATTTTGTAAATGAGGGAACTGCATTTACAAAATGGTAATTAATTTTGTAATTAATTCTCTAATTACAATTACTGAAATTAGAGAAATTAACTCATCCATGGTTAAGAAGCTAGCAAATGACAGCACCTGGATTCAAATACCCACCTCTCCTCCACCACCTAATACTATTAATACCTCCACAGTAGGCCAGGCGAGGTGGCTCATGCCTGTAATCTCAGCACTTTGGGAGGCTGAGGAGGGCGGATCACGAGGTCAGGAGTTCAAGACCAGCCTGGCCAACATGATGAAACCCCGTCTCTACTAAAAATACAAAAATTAGCCAGTCACAGTAGGGGGCACCTGTAATCCCAGCTACTTGGGAGGTGGAGGCAGAATTGCTTGAACCAGGAGGCGGAGGTTGCCGTGAGCCTAGATCATGCCACTGCATTCCAGCCTGGGTGACAGAGCAAGACTCCATCTCAAACAAAAAAAAAAAAAGCAGAATGTTGAGTTACCGAAGCTGGGTGTGTGGAAAAAAAAAGAAGTAACTTTTTTTTGAGACAGGGTCTTGCCCTGTTTCCCAGGCTGGAGTGCGGTGGTGCAATCATAGCTCACTGTAGCCTCCACTTCCTATACTCAAATGATTCTCCTGCTTCAGCCTCCTGAGTAGCTAGGACTACAGGCATGCCACCACATCTGGCTAATTATTATTATTATTATTATTTTTTGAGATGGAGTCTCCGTTTGTTGTCCAGGCTGGAGAGCAGGGGTTCAATCTCGGCTCACCACAACCTCCATCTCCCAGGTTCAATTGATCAATTGATTCTCCTGCTGCAGCCTCCTGAGTAGCTGGGACTACAAGTGCGCGCCACCATGCCCAGCTAATTTTTGTATTTTTAGTAGAGACGGGGTTTAACTCTGCTGGCCAGGCTGGTCTCGAACTCCTACGACCTCCTGACCTCATGATTCGCCCACTTTGGCCTCCCAAAGTGCTGGGATTACAGGCGTGAGCCACCAGGCCTGGCCACATTTGGCTAATTTTTATTTTGTTTTGGTAGAGATGGGAATCTCACTACATTGTCCAGGCTGGTCTTGAATTTCTGGCTTCACTTCAAGCGATCCTCTTGAGTTGACCTCCCTAAATATGGAATTACAGGTGTGAGCCACTGTGCCTGGCCAAAAAGAAGCTTTTTATCTGAGGAAGACTAGCCCCTTTAAATTATCAGGCCCAGTGAGGCATTGAAATTAAATCCATGGAATGAAACTCCTCCTTGGACTAAATCATTATCTCTTGAAGCCACTTCATTTCTGTAAACCAGTGAATTCCTGATGAACAACTTTTGCAGTTGTCCTTTTCTCCTGATTCATCCTTTTTTCTTTAAAAACTTAAACCTCTCTTTTGTTCCCTGGAGCACTCGCCAAGGCAACCTGGAAATGTGTCCTGGGCTGCACTTCTCAACCTTGGCCTAAATAAACTCTCTATATTAATTTTGCTTAAGTGTCTTCCTTTTAGATTAACAGATGATGGGTACATGAGGTTCATTATACTGTATTTGCTTTGTATATGCTTGAAATTTTTCATAATAGAATGCTTTTAAAAATTGGAGCAGATGTGAAAAAGAAATTGGGGACAAAGGATGGCCAATTTTCCTGATACACATTTTCGTGGTTCTTTTATTTGAAAAATAACCAAAAGAAGGTATAAATTTGGCTGGGCGTGGTGGTGCATGCTTGTAATCCCAGCTACTTGAGAGACTGAAACACAAGAATCACTTGAACCCAGGAGGCAGAGGTTGCAGTGAGCTGAGAGTGAGACGGTCTCAAAAATAAAAAGAGGGCATAAATTTAACACTTTTAAAAGGAGATATTTTAAAAAGCTGACGTCATAGGAAACAGATAATTCTGGGGACATAAGAGAATTTTTCTTGTATTCTAAATAGTGACCGCAGGAAAATTTAAGAAGTTACTTTATCCGTAAGATAAGTTGATTATACACCTGTAATCAACATATAGATGTGTATGTATATATCTATATACACACTCATATATATACATACATATATGTATTAGGCACAATCAGTGACATGAAGAAAATTATTGGAATTTAAAAATATAGTTGCTAAAATTAAAAAATCAATATAAGGACTGAACAGTGAGGTCAATGGAATCTCCTAAAGCGTAAAGCAGAAAGATAAAAGGAAATGAAAATATTTTTAGAAGTCCAGACACATACAGGGTTAATCCAGGAAGGATGCTGTTCAACTAATAGTTCCTGGATTGACACTTTGTATGTTTTCAAAAGAAAGACAAGAAAATTCAGGGGAGAATATAATGAGAGAAATAATAGAAGAAAGTTCCCTAGAGATGAGGACAGGAGTCTTCAGCCTGAAAATGTATGCTGGTGCCAGGCATAAGAAATAAAAATAGACCCATACTTAACCATAACCTTTTGATTTTACAGTACAGAAAATACTAATAGAAGATCCTGAAGGCTTCCAGAGAACAAACAACAGGCCAACTACAACAGAACAAATGTCTGAACAGCACCAGTCTTCCCATTACACTCAGGGCCAGAAGACAGTGGAGTGCCGCCTTTAGAGGAATAAGTCTCAGAATACCATATCCAGTCAAGCTGCCACACATATTCAGACATGTCAGAACTCAGGAAACTCATGTCTCATAAAGTTTTTCTGAAAAAAAAAATTAATTAAGAGTGGGCCAGTAAAAAGGCAAAGGAATCCAAGAATGAGAAAAACTTGGGAACCAAGAAAAACTAGTCCTAACCCAGGAGTGCAATGTCAGGCAGGCCTAGAATGACAGCTGTCTGGCAGGCCAAGCGAGCAACTGGTTTCCAACAGAGAAGAATGCCTGCAAGCAGAAAGTGGAGTCCGTGCCACGGAGCGTGGGATTAAGATCCTGGATAAATTTAGTCCTATGATGAAGGCATGTGCTGCTTTTGTTAAGAAGCAAAAGGAAAAGCAATGAAAAACAGCAGAAAACTATGTTACAGATATAAAGCACATTAATTGAGTGTTTGAAGATGTAATCATTCAGCCCTGATGTTTGATGCATCCTCTTTCTAGTGGCATAGATTAGTGATAGAGATTTACCTTTTCTAACTGATGCACTTTGTTCTGCAGTGAATCCTATTTACATAATCAAAACAATATAATTGCAGTTTATTGACTTTAAATACTTAGGATCAGCAGAATGACCAGTCATAGAGCAAAATGTACATGTTGTAAACTCTGACAATACAAAAGTAGTGGTGGAGCTGACAGAGGCAGGAGGTCTATAGAGAAGTGAGAGTTGAAGGAAGATGTGGAAATGTTCATTTCTTTTTCATACATAATAAGTAGTTTAGAGATCCTATTTAAAGACAGGGGCCAGGCGTAGTGGCTCACGCCTATAATTCTAACACTTTGGGAGGCCAAGGCAGGTGGATCACTTGAGGCCGGGAGTTCGAGACCAGCCTGGCCAATGTGACAAAATCCCGTCTCTACTAAAAATGCAAAAATTAGCCCTGTGTGGTGGTGCACACCTGTGATCCCACCTACTCAGAAGCTGAGGCAGGAGAATCACTTGAACCTGGGAAGCAGAGGCTGCAGTGAGCTGAGATGGCACTACCACACTCCAGCCAGGGCGACAGAGAGAGACTCTGTCTCAAATAAATAAGATGTTGGAGCTGGAAGTAAAAGTTTTAAAATTGTAAATATCACCAACAGAATAACGAAATAGTACTATGATTAACAAAATATAAATGGAGGATAAAGTGGAACAATACACAAATAGCTCATTTATCATAACAGAGACTTAATAGTGTTTGGAATTGACTAATAGAAAAATAGGTATATAAGCATGTTGCTTAGAGCCAAAGAGAGAGCAGATGAAATAAAACTGGAAAGGATTGAAAGATCTTGGATATTTTTCTGTGGGATATAGGCAGGATATAAGTACTTTTCATTCTTAGTCCTTTTGTACTTTGATTTTTTTTTAATTGTGTATATGTTGTATTACTTTGATGGTTTAAGTAAAGTGGTTGGGAAAAATGGACTTAAGCTGGCTCCTCCTATTATGAACTCTGAGCGCCACAATTCCTAACTGCATATTCTTTTCCTCCTTAAAGATTTAAGTTCACGCTTGTAATCCCAGTACTTTGGGAGGCTGAGGTGGGAGGATCACCTGAGGTTAGGAGTTCAAGACCAGCCTGGCCAACATGGTGAAACCCCGTCTCTACTGAAAGTACAAAAATCAGTCTGGTGTGGCAGGCGCCTGTTATCCCGGCTACTCGGGAGGTTGAGGCAGGAGAATCACTTGAACCCAGAAGGTGGAGGTTGCAGGGAGTGGAGGTCATGCCACTGTACTCCAGCCTGGGCAACAGAGCAAAAGTCTGTCTCAAAACAAAAACAAACAAAAAATTAGCCAGGCGTGGTGGTGGGCACCTGTAACCCCAGCTACTTAGGAGGCTGAGACAGCAGAATTGCACAAACCTGGGAGGCAGAGGTTGAGGTGAGCTGATATCACAGCATTGCACTCCAGTCAAAAAAAAAAAAAGAAAGAAAGAAAAATTAAGTTATTTAGTAACAGGATAAGAACATTTAAATAAACTGAGTTACTAGCTACTAGGTGAAACCAAATGAAATTTTGACCTATGAAGATAGCAGTTTCATATCATTCAACTTATTGTATGCTCTTCTCATTAAAAAGTATAAATGGGGCCAGGCACGGTGGTTCATGTCTATAATTCTAGCACTTTGAGAGGCTGAGGCAGGAGGATTGCTTGAGCGCAGGAGTTCAAGACCAGCCTCGGCAACATAGTGAGACCTCATCACTGAAAAAAAAGTATGAATGAAGCCAAAACCGCAGTAGCTATGGACTCTTGTATAGTATATACTTAGTATTTTATATTGATTTTTCCATCTAACTAAAAATATAATTTTTAAACCCCACAGAGTTGTGTCAAAAACACAAAATTATTTTTAATTATAGAAGGGACTAAGATATCAATCTCCAGTGAGTTTTGATTTACTTTTGATTAATATGTCAGTTACAGAACAATCTGCAAATTTAACTCAAATTTGAAATATTATTATTATTTATTATTATCGAGTAGCTTCCTGAGCCAGAGTAGGCTTGCACAGGCTCCCTCAAATGTGAATTTGTTTATTATTTATTTATTTATTTATTTATTTATTTATTTATTTATTTATTTTTTGAGGTAGAGTCTTGCTCTGTCACCAGGCTGGAGTGCAGTGGTGTGATCTCAGCTCACTGCAACCTCTGCCTCCTGTGTTCAAGTGATTCTCCTGCCTCAGCCTCCCGAGTAGCTGGGACTACAGGCATGCGCCACCATGCCCAGTTTTGTGTTTGGCTTCATTTATACTTTTTTTTTTTTTTTCAGTGATGAGGTCTATGTTGCCCAAGATGGTCTTGAACTCCTAATTTTTGTATTTTTAGTAGAGATGGGGTTTCACCATGTTGGCTAGGATGGTCTCAATCTCTTGACCTTGTGATCCGCCCGCCTCAGCCTCCTAAAGTGCTAGGATTAAAGGCGTAAGCCACTGCGCCCAGCCTCAAAAGTGAAATTTAAAATGAAGGTATCTATTAAATTATCAGGCCCCTTGGACCTGTAATATTCTGAAATAATACATACTACAGTTTTTCTATATACTTCTTTTGTGAAGAGCACTGACTCAAGATGAGCCAGAAAGAATTTCCTTCTGGAAGGACAAAGCAGACCAAAGAATGATGTCTTATGCTTCATCATTGTTTGTTTTTAATTTTGTTTTTCCTTATTTAAGTTGCCTCTTGAGATTTATCAATGTTTTACAGCACCTTGAAGGTATTTGAGTCTCAAAATAGCCCTAGGGCCGGGCACAGTGGCTCACGCCTGTAATCCTAGCACTTTGGAAGGCTTGGGGGGTGGATCACCTGAGGTTGGGAGTTCAAGACCAGCCTGGCCAACATGGTGAAACCCTGCCTCTAATAAAAATACAAAATTAGCTGAGTGTGGTGGAGTGCACCTGTTATCCCAGCTACTCGGGAGCCTGAGCAGGAGAATCACTTGAATCTGGGAGGCGAGATTGTAGTGAGCTGAGATTGTGCCACTGCACTCCAGCCTGGGTGACAGAGTGAGACTCTGTCTCAAAAAAAGAAACAAAAATTTTTTTTTTTTTTGGATAAAACTCAAATGCTGCTGCCAAATATGAGGCATTTGATTCCCTACTCAAGAATCCTTCATAAGTCTTATCATCCTAAACTCGACAATTTATTTCTGATTGTCATCATGAAGAACAATTTATTTCTCATGAAGAAAAGCTACCAAGGATGTGTAGCTTTTCGTTCACATTATGATTCTTAACATGGTAGTAGGTTAAGCATGTCTTATCCACTCCTAGATCTTCAGGGAAGGTTCCCTCCAGATGAGTTGACTTAAGCCCCTCTGTTCATGGATGAGGAAACTGAGGCCCAGAGGGACTGAGAAACTGAGTCTACACAGAAATTCAATGAGATGCATCAAATGGGACCAGAGCTCAGCTCCTAGTGGGGCTTTCTTTCTGTTATTCTGTGCTTTTTTTTTTCTTTTTCTATTTTTAACCTCACCATCACGCAATATGCCCATGTACCATGCCATTTCTTTAACTCAGAAACTCACTATCAAATTCGATCAAAATGTTCAAACTCTCCATACATTAAATATCAGTACTTTAAAAAATTATCTGGATGCAGTGGCTCATGCCTGTAATCCCAGCACTTTGGGAGGGTGACGTGGGCTGAACATCTGAAGTCAGGAGTTCCACACCAAATTGGCCAACATGGCAAAAGTCCATTTCTACTAAAAATACAAAAATTAGCTGGGCGTGGTGGCAGGCCTCTGTAATCCCAGCTGCTGGGGAGGCTGAGGCAGGAGAACCACTTGAACCTAGGAGGCAGACGTTCAAGATGGGCCAGAAAGAATTTCCTTCTGAAAGGGCAAAGCAGATCAAAGAATGATGTCTTATGCTTCATCATTGTTTGTTTTTGATTTTGTTTTTTGAGCCAAGATTGCACCAGCCTGGGTGACAGAATGAAACTCCATCTGGAAAAAAAAAAAAAAAAAAAAAAGTCTAAAATGTACTTTTGTAAACCTGAAAAATCATGATTTTTTTTTTTTTTTTTTGAGACAGGTTCTCACACTATTGTCCAGACTGGAGTGCAGTGGCATGATCACAGCAGATTGCAGCCTCAACTTCCTAGGCTCCAGTGATCCTCCCACCTCAGCCTCCCAAGTAGCTGGGACTACAGGTGTGCACCACCATACCTGGCTAATTTTTTTGTATTTTTTTTTTTTTTTTTTTTTTTTTGTAGAGATGGGGATCTTGCCTTGTTGCCCAGGGTGGTCTTGAACTCCTGAGCTCAAGTGATCCACCTGCCTTGGCCTCCCAAAGTGCCTGGTCAATCATGATTCTTTAATAGTCTATGATTTTAAAAGCCCTTCATTGGTCTGGGATAATGAAGGTAAAGAAAATACTTCCCATATCCTGAAGTCTAGGGCATCCTTCTATGAATAAGGAAATGTAGCCTAAAAGAAAAGTAGGACCTATCTTTCGCATTCCATCTTTATGTGAACAAAGATGTCTCACACATAGTGATCAGAACTCATTCCTTCTATTCCAACAAGTCATGGGCTTCTGGTGTGTCTGCTAGACAATGCTTAGCGGAAAGCTGGAGCAATTCAAACTTTGAATTCAATTTCCTAGTTGCTAGGATTGTGTTATCTGATTTTATTAAGAAATAACTGATGGAGCAGTGTGAAGAGGGGAGAATGACCCCCAGACCAACCAAAGCCCACGACCCGCTGCATCCCACGCCCTGCGCCTGTCCTGCCAATGCTGCCACCATGCCCAAGAGAAAGGCTGGAGGGGATGTTAAAGGAGATAAAACCAAGGTGAAGGATGAACCACAAAGAAGATCTGCGAGGCTGTCT